AGGATCACACGTCCGTAGGCCAATCCAGGTCCTGGTATAGAGCCTCTTTCACTAACACTCGGTGTAGGTCGTCGAACCCAACCCTCCGAGACACAGTTGCCAGTTTGTTTGCGTCCATAAAACACGATCCGAGCGCGACCGGATATGTTGATCCGTCCGGTACATACTATGAAGGTGGAAGTGAGACGATTTGGACGAAGCCTCTGGGCAAAAAGGTCTTGATAGTGGACATCGACACGCGTGTGCCGACTGGCGAGAACGAGCTTCTCAACCCAGAACGCTTAGATTGGGAAAATCTCAAGACCGAAGGCGCCGGACTGGTCTCCAACTCCATCATGAACCATTATCTGTACGCCATGGTCCATGGCTACGACTACAAATTCTATCAAGCGCGCGATATGAAGGACCACTACAACACGTGGATACTACCCCACGTTCTGCGCGAACTGATACCGGAATATCAGTTCGTGGTCGTAATGGATGCCGACGTTACGATAGCGCATCCGGACGTCCCCTTCGAGTGGATGTTCAATCGCTGGGGCATCAAACAGCACACATCCATAGCTCTTCCATGGGATACCGAAGAAATCCGCGATGAAGGCTCGATTAGCCTAGACAGCAAGGGGATGCGCGTCCTCAATACCGGCCTTGTGGTTGCGCAAAACTCATCCACGACTTTGGAACTACTGGATGCGTGGCGCGATTGTACGTCCGAAATACGCTACAAAGGCTGTGCGAAATGGAGATACGAATGGAGCCACGAACAGCGCGCCTTTTCGGAATACATCCGCTACGACTTCAACAAGACGCCAGAAACGATCGTTGCCATACCCTGCGACGATGCGGTAGGGTGGCCCGGTTTCCGCCAGGATATGTTATCTCGTCCTGGTACCGCCAACAAGGATATATCGGATTGCAACGGCAACTTCGTTAGGCACTACACAACCATGGGAAAGACTCGTGTCAAAGATGCGAGCGCGTCTAGTGTGATGCAGATGTTCAGCGATGCGCTGCAGAAGAGTATCTTGGCAAACCCAGGTGAAGTCTGGTACAAGGAACCAGAAAAGAAGACCGAAATACCAAAAGATCAGCCGGATGAGGTACGGGAAGATGTTCAGAATAAACCAGACGCTGATGTGGTTCTGATAGAAAGATGAAAGCTAGGTTTTCTCTCGGCGTTTTTTTAATTTCGGCATTCGTTTTGCATCGCGCTAGTGCTTTGGATACCAATGTAGCAGAGTATAGAAATTGTTGTACGTGAACTATTCGGTCTCCGTTAGTACTGATAACATCCAGAACGGTTTTACTGGTGCAATATTGTGCAAATCAGAGCTATCTTCTACTCGCGCATCGAAACCAAAGTCCGCCCCAACCCAGTGAACCCGGGCTAGCTTTCGCAAACCACAAGGCGCACGAAGGAAGGGCCACAACTAAAGAATCTCGGTTCAAGTGTAATGTGGGATCATCATCGAAGGAAGGACAAGGTGGAAGGCAACGAGAGCGCGACTTACTATCCCTTCATGCATGCGCTCTGATTTCACGCGTCATTTGCATGGTTAGTGGCGGCGCGTGGGTGAGTGAGGTGGTTGGTGAGCTTGACGCGTCGATAACAGGCACGAGAAGGGGAAGACTAAAAGCGGGCTGGAAGAAAGCTTAGCCGAGCGATTACGTCAACTAGCGTGGTTTGTTTCTCTGGCAGCCCTGGAGTGCGGGCTACCATTCATCCGCCACTATTAATCGCATCTCTGCCTCCCCACCTTTGTATTACATATTTACAGAATCTCCTCGGGCTTGACAACAACCCAGTTCTTGTCCGCCGTAACCTCCCTGCCATTAGCAATTTGCGCCTGAGTGTTGTTCCTGATCTCCTCTTGCAGAACCTCAAAGTACGCGTCTCTACGGTTGATCCACAGATGCACACCACCCTTTGCTGTATCGACCCCATGGAATTGCATGTACGAATCGCTTCCGGGAGTATCACCACCAGCCAAGATGGGGCGCTTCCATTGATCGATGTAGGTAAGGATAGCAGCCCATTTTCCGGCAAACCATGTAGCAGGTGTCCACAGATACGGAGTCACGACCAGGTCGAGATTAGCGGTCTCGTTGTAGGTTCCTTCTGTGATCTGCTTGCGAGCATTGGTGAGCTCGCCGGAGGTAACGTTCTTCAGGACGGTGGTAACACCAATGACGTTTTGAGGTGGTACGTTGTATCCGTACTTCGGATCGCTGGCCACCATGCGGACAAGCTCCTCATGCGCAGCGCTGATGACATAGACGGCGATGCCATTGTCCATGAGAGCATTGTAGAGCTCGACCTGGCCCCGGAACACCTTCGGCGGGTTTACGCTGCTGGATGTGACTTCGTCACCGTCCCAGTACTTGGTGGGAATGGATGAGTTGTATGCCATAAGCTCATCCACGTAGGTCTTGAGTTCGCGCAATGTGAAGCCAGACCAGATTTGTGCGGCCCATGGATAGCAGACGAAGTCGTCAATCTCGCACAAACGGTTGTAGTAGCTGTACAACGATTCGGTAAAGTTTGCAGCGTCTTTGAAATCGACCAACTTGAGGGTGGGATCCAAGTTGTCGCGCGTTAGGATGCCACGGTTCTCAAGGAAAGGAAGAAGCGATTCTTCGAGATCGTAGCGGTAACTGGTGTTGTCCATGTCGAAGACCGCATAGTTGCTTTGATTGGCGTTCTTTGCGATCATGGTGGAGAGGGCTGTCGCTGCCTCAGCAGGCCAGTGCTTGAACTGGACCTTTGGAGAAGTGCCATACTGGGGTGTGGCTGAGCTCAAAGAAGCTGTGAATGCGAGCCATGCGGCTGTCTTGAGGGGAGTTGACGACAACATGCTTTCCGTATTACCAGCTGCAGCGAATTGAACAAGGAAACAAGCGAGTGAGGATGCAGAACCAAGCCTTCGGGGATGTTGAGATTCCAGAAGAAATACTGCGGGGGCTAGGATGCGTGAACGCTGGCGCATCAATACCGCCGACGTGAACAACCGAGATAACGGTCCCACACTTACGATTCAAGTTCGGGCCTACCTTGAAGAATGTCTTGAATCTGTTGGTCGCGCTATCCTCAATTGATGCTTTTGCGCGTTGCTTGATCTAAGAAGTATGCCATGCGGCTCTCGACCGCTTGCGACAGTTTACCGCAGGTCTGAGCAAGGCCGCCTCTCCATGCCTAGAAAGATACAAACAACTGGTGTTGTGCAGCGCAATCTGCACGAGCGACTTAAATCGGTCTTTCCTCAATAAGATGTCTTCAATGTCTTCTCTAATATACCTCCACAGGAAAGCCTTTGCTATCTTTGTAATCCGTGTCTATCCGATATCCTGTCTTGATGATCAGCTGCTCTAACGCAACTCGATATGGATAGACGAGCCCATCCTTTCCACCCTGCTTACGCTGGCTTGCGACATCTCGATGCCGATATGTATGCGTGCAAAAGCATTTTGACAGACACCGGGTTCGGATGGAACTTTAGCAATAATCGTTCGTTTATCTGCAGCCTCCGACCTGACACTACTCATGCAGCCACACCTGCATCCTATCTTGAATGACGTCGTGCACATCTGACAAAACTGTTGCGCCAAGCAGGCAGCCGCTGCGATTAATCATCAATTCCATAACTACATCCTCGCGACTATATATTCGCGACTGTAGCTTGACGCCGATTACGCCTCTGCCCCGAACGCGCGCTGTCATGCTGTGCCCATACTTCTTCGCGAGCGCCTGCACGGCCCAATAGGCAGAGTGATGCCACCGCAGTTGTGGTTGCTTATTCTAGCCCGCCAAACCCGCCCTCAATTCGCACAACAACAACGCCGGAGCCGCGACATCACCGCTGGCATGTATCCGCTGATTGCACCCGCTCGTTGCGCGCCTTTATCGCGTCCATGCTCGTTGTCAGCCAACGAAGGACGAGAGCCCAAGACGTCGCAGGATCACCATTAGAGCCCACGATGGGCGTGGTTCTGACACCAGCCATCAACTTCGCGGCTCCCTCGTCGACGCTCACCCGCAATTGCCGCTTCCTAACCAACGACGCTCTCTCGCCATTGTGGCTTCCTGATCACTGACGCCTACTCGACACCGTTGCTTCCCCACGACCGCCGCTCGGGCCCCAACCCGCAGTTCTCTCACCACCGAAGTTCCTGCGCCTTGCCCGCAGCACCACACTCTAGTCCTCATTGCGCTCGCCTTGAGGCCCTGCTCAGACGTTTGACGGCGGCATGTCGAGCCAAGGCGGCAGAATGTCGAAGCGCCAGCTACGAAAGGAGGAGAGACGGCACCACTCCCAGCGCGGTCGGGTGGAGAAGAAGTCTGCACAGGACAGCATGAGGGACAGTCTGCCTCTTGACCTCCCCAACCAACGTAGGATTCAATTGCTGAAGTCCAAATACGGGCCTAAGTTCGTCAAGAAAGGACCCTATTCCAACAGACTTGGCTGGGGTATTGGTCTAAATATGAAAAGGCGCCTTTTCTCGCTGCATCGTCTAGTCCGACAAAGCCGGCGCTTGACGACGCCATCCAAAGCATGATGCGCACCCTTGACGCCGCATTTGCTACCATCTCACAGCGCATTCGCGCATCAGACCCGGATGTCTACGCGAGGATGCGCTTCAGCCACCGGCCGATTGTAAAGCCGGCGCTGAATTAGTGAGAATGAGTCAGAATGACGTCGGCAACTTCACGCCGATGCACACAAGGAGCGGCTCTAGCGTGTACCTTGGCATCACGTGCTCGCAGAAGGGACCTCCATTGCACATATCGCAACCTTATTACGGTGGGATGTTGATGCAGAGCAGGGATATCGCAACCTTAGTACTATCAGTTTCAGCCATTCTAGTTCTTCAAGCGCGCTCGGTCGCCCTCATACATATAATCTATAAATTCCAACGACTTCCTTCTTGCACCCCAAACCATCCAATTTTCAACACTCACTTTCTACAAGAATCACTCATCCACTCGACTCAACAATCTCAACATGGTCAAGAAAGTAGCTCTCATTACTGGCGGGGCTAGTGGAATGGGACTCGCTGTTGCGGAAGCCCTCGCAGCTCGTACTCATGAAGAGTGGGATTTGCATCTTGTCGACCTCAGCGCTGATAATCTCACGAAAGCCACGTCCTTGGTCAAGAATGCGCATGCTCACCAGGCGAATGTAGCCGACTACGCCTCGCTGGTGGCAGCTTTCGAATCAGCATGGTCAAAGTCAGGTCGTCTCGACTTCGTCTTCGCGAACGCTGGTATCGCGGAAAAAGACAGTGCGTAGCGATCCTGTTCGTATGGCAAATCAGACACCAACTGACTTGATCACCAACACCTAGATTTCTACGAAGAACATGCTCTCGACGCGCCGCCTCCACCGCCGAAGAGCCTCGTAATCGATGTCAATTACACGGCAGTGGTAAACACCTCATGGCTTGCGTTCCACTACTTCCGGAAATCCCAGGCCAAGCATGGCAGAGAGAACAATGACGCGGCCCTAGTCATGACTGCAAGCTGTGGTGGACTCTATCCAGCCGAGTTCGGCCCCATGTACTCTGGTGCTAAAGCGGGAGTAATCCACTTTAACCGTGCTATCACAGTAGCATATCACCACGCTGGCATTAGAACATTCACGGTCTGCCCAAGCATCGTTCGCACCGGCCTGTTGAGTGAAGAGGAATGGGGGTCCCTCCCAGAAAGCTTCATGACACCCATGGAAACAGTCGTTAACGCCGTGGTGAAGGTGGTGGATGGAGGAGACATTGAGGATGCTAACGGAAAGAAGGTGGCCGGCAAGGACAACTGGGGTCTCACTGTGGAGCTTTTTGGCAAGAACTTCTACTTCCGAGACGGTGTAGAGTACTGTGATGAGAGCATGAGGACTATGGCGACGAGTACGGGCATGAAGGCGCAGCTAGAGAGGATCGGGAAGCCACAAGCGGAGGGCGAACATGGAGCGTGGGGAGGTAACGCTGACAAAGTTTGATATTCGGCCAGTCCGCTCTTAACAATGAAAACATCGGTTCCCGCATTCTATGCCACCAATTCAGACAACTCAGCCTGTGGCCTGTCACGCTTCTCCGCAGGTAAAATAGGTATCGGTCTATGCGATGGATGTCCCGTTGGGCCGCCAGCTTCAGACATTCTTGTCTCTAACGCCTTTATCCTCCGATTGTACCGACAGAAGAACCATCCTACTGTTACCAATGCCACCACTGCGAACGCTGCGCCCAATCCTATTCCTGTTATCGCACCACCCGAGAGTGTCTTGTTTTCCCTCTCCGCTGTTCCGCTGGAGACTGGCGACCAAATAGTCGTTGAAGAGGATGACGTGGAGGTCGTCTCCGTCAGACTGGTAACAGATGTGGTGAGTGATTTAGACGGTTGATCGTATACCGTTGTTACGCTGGAGACTGGCAACCAAGTAATGGCTGAAGAGGATGGCAGGGAGGTCATGGTCATCTCATCGGTCTTGGGATCCAGGAGCGATGTGAACGATTGATCGTAAAGAGTTGGAGAGCTATCGATGTCTGACACGACCGTGAAAAGCGGACCTTGCGGCCCGTCAATGCCGCGATCATAATATTGGATGTCGAAGTAACATGCGATGTAACCGCTCCAACCGCTACTTGTATCCAATTTTTCCTGGGGCGAAAAGGTCATTTCGCCGGTTGATTCGACCTCCCAATTCACTTCAGACCCTATAGTATCTCAGCTTCAGCAAGTTCACCTGATTTGATGTTGACCTTGACTGAGAAACCTTACAAGGGTGGTTACATACATTCTGCCTGTTTGCCGGTCCCACTGTTGGCATCACACCACAAGTATAAGTAAGCCCGATCGTAGTTGGATATCCATTTGACGTTTACAAAATCGTAAACGTTGATTGTCAAGACGGGAGAAGCGCTTTCCGGATAAAGGAAAGAGGCTGAAGATGATTGTGTCGCGGCACAGCGTAGAAGACAAGCCAATACAAAGCGAAGTGAGTGTGACGATTTGAGGTGAATCATGATGTGATGTAGAAAGCAGCTACTATATCTTCAGTAGAAAGTGGGCGCATGCAGTGAAAGGTTGGTTATCGCATGACGCTCGCGAGATATCAGAGTTAATGGGCCAAATATAGGCGGCTGCGTGGAATTACGGCTACCTGCTAGTCGTCAATGTCTCCTGCAGATTCGTTGTGTCACTTGTACGTTCAATGAGTTTCGTCGTTCGTTCTAGGCCAATCCCAGTGTGAATGCGCCACCACGCGTGATATACTCGTGTAACCGTTGTGCGTGTTTGTGTCTGGACTTCATCCGTTTCGGGACGGCGACGCGAGGTTACACTGGCCAGTGTCGATCGCTGGTATCGTGAATTCGGAAGTCCTTAGTTGCCGGCACGCCTGAATAGAGTAGTAGTTGATCTCATTGCACATCGATTCTAAAAGGTAGTCTTAACACTCGATTTCTTGTTCCATGATGTCCTTGGCGTATCTGTCGTCCTCACCATGCCGCTTCATTGTCCATGATCTCTAGCCCAAGATCGCGGCAGCCTTGTAGATCTGGTATATCGCTAGCCCGCTGCCGATAGACCAAAGGCCGCTCCTGATCATGCTCTTCGAGTAAGTCGCGATTTGGACGTATGCAAGAGAGTACGCGGCCCTGACTACGAACCAAGCTGTGACAAATGTTGTCAAGCCCGTTGCATCGCCTGATATGACCTCTCGTCCTATCCCTGTTGCGGTGGTGCGTTCGGCAATGATGCTAGCGATGACGGCGGCGGCGAAGAGGGGCATTTGTTCCATATTGTTCGACTGGGCGTTCTCGGCGCGTTGGTACTTTTTGAAGCTGTAGGCATGTTAGTATGATACTAGCAGGGGATCTTGGGTGGGGAGAGTGGAGACGTCTTACACAGCATCGGGAACCTTGCCCTTCACGGCTTCTGGTGACAACGCTGCCTTGGGGTTCGCGTTGTTGATCTTGTAGCCATTGGCTGTGAGAAGGCTAGCTGCGTATATGTGCGGGACGAGAGAGAAGACGTAGTAGGCTGGAATGGCGAGGAGCGGGTAGTTGAGCGAGTTGGAAGACATTGTGGCGGTTTCTGGATCGCTTTGAGGATGGGGGCTTCGAGATATCGTTCAATTGACTGTGTAAGAGCAAGGCGGAAACTGTGGGAGTGATATTGAGTTGGTGAGGGGTGTAATAAACATCTGGGCATAGCTGCGGATGGACTTCGGGAGCGTTGACGTAGCTATCAAACCTTATGCGCTCAGGGTCTAACAATCATGACGCGTATCTTCTTCGGCATCTTCAGACTAGGCACCGATATGAGGCGCTTCGACATGTTGAGTTTCTCGGCGCGCTTGTCGGGTTCGTTGTACTGCGAGAGGGCCAGGTAGTGTTCTAGAGAGCTTACATTGAGGGGCTAAGGTCGACGCGCCTGCCGTTGGAGGAGGCCATCTCGGGATCGGAACATGTGCTTACTCAGCCACGCTACGAAACACGCCAGGCTCGCCGCGTTCCCATTCCTTTGACCCTTATGACAGCTAACTACTGATGGAAATACTGATAAATGGCGTATAAGCTGCACATGGCTGGCGAGTTGTCGCACCGTTGTTGGTGTTCTATTGGACTCTTTTCAGTCGCGAATCGCATACGCCGGATTTCTCCTCTTGACGAATCTGAACCCTAATGCTTTATTATCCTCGAGATACATCTCATGCAGCCTCTGAAGTGTTATTGTTCAGGTATCAGCTCCGCCGCAATATTCAGAGGTCTAGTTGAAATCAATCGCGGTTGCCGACGTGGTTGCAAGCAGTGTCTCTACCTAGGACCAATCGCTGATGCAGCGCTCAGCCTGCGCCATGCAACCAGGCGCGAGCCAGCCTTGTCAACTTCGATCGAATGCTTCACTTCTAGCCTCTCGAGAACCTCGAAGCTACCTCTCTTTTTTCTTGTTGCCTGTCTACGCGTTTCCCCATAGTTACTACGGAGGCCGTCTTTATCAAGCCACCACAGAACGAGCCCAAATCTCAGCGTGTCGTATGCTAGCTTTGGGAACCCGCTGAGATCGCGACCCAGGTTGTTGCTCTAGCGAAGAGCCGTTGAGACTTCGAGGCAGGATAGTAGAGCTGTCAGGCCAGCAGCTAACATGTGTTAGTCGCCCCCTACGTCTATCGCCACAACACAGCGACTGCCTATCCTCACGTCCATATAATTCCCGCCCAAAATGAACGGCGGCAGCGGCCTCAAGCGGATGGTGCGCATCGAAGAGGGTCAACACTACTTCCTCGAACCCAACGACGAGCTGCCGTACAAGTTACTTCGCAATCTGGGGCAAGGGGGATTCGCCAACGTGGAAGAGGTCGAGGACCGACATACTGGCGTGGTCTTGGCCTGCAAGGTCTTCAAATTTGGTGGCTCTTCAGTTGAGAGACAACGCCTTTTTGACAACGAGGTTAAGGTCATCCGACGGTTAGCTCCACATCACCACATCACTCGGATCTTTGCGACATACGTAGGAAGGCGTCAAATAGGTATCTTACTGACACCAGTCGCCGATCGCGGCTCGCTGGAAACATTCCTTCAGGACGCTCATGACGGTCTCTTTACGGGGACTGAGTTGAATACCTTGTACAATTCGTTTGGGTGTCTTGCTAGTGGCTTACAGTTCATGCACGCTCAAAAAGTGCGACACAAGGACATTAAGCCATCCAACATCCTGGTACATGGAGAGTCTGTGATTTACACGGACTTTGGCTCGTCTCTGGACTACAGTGCAGCTACGCGCAGCATTACGACAGGCCGCCCAACGTCCATAACCCGCAAGTACGCTGCCCCGGAATTGCACGAATGGTCGCCACGCAGTTCTAAGACAGACGTATTCTCGCTTGGATGTGTATATCTTGAGATTCTTAGTGCACTTGTACTGGGTCCCCTAGACACAGACATGACTCCATATGGAGATCATATCGAAGGATTCTTCACACTCATGCGGAGGACAAGTCCTAGCTGTGACATCTGGCTCCAGGTTGTCATCGATATAACTTGTCAAATGCTCAACGTCGAACCTGAAGCCCGACCGTCGGCCGAAACGATTACTGGCCAGCTGTGGATGTGCTGGCCAGACGCTTTTTGTGGGCAGTGCATAAGGAGTCTCAGTTTACAGGCCCAATTCGTACCTCCAGTGTACTCCGTCTGTACTCCGGCGACAGTCGAGGATTACTGGTTCAGTCAGAACTCGCTCATGTCTTATGATCCCCGGTTCCAATCACCAGCAACGCCTATATTTGAGGCGAATCAAATCTATGACCTCTCTTTTCAGCAAGAGATGTTACCTCAAGCGGAATCACTGTCAACGCCCGAGGAACGTCAACATACGACTCCGTGGGCCTACCCTACCGCATCAGCCTACACATCGTCACTACAAATGGATGATATTCCACTACCCTCGGGACGTCTGACTGCCACGAGGCCGTCTTTCGGCGCGATGGAGCCGCTTTCAGACTCCAGCTCCCTCTCTACAGCAGTAAGAAGCTCTACGGATCCGATCATGGGTGATTATTTTGAAGCGACACGCCAAGATCAGCGTCGCGCGAAGCGAACGTACCCGCGTCCAGAGTATGGAGAGTCCAATAAAGGCAATACCGAATTAAAGTATGATATCCAGATTCCTGCAATTAGCAACCTTCTAACTGGAAACCGGGAACTTATGTTGAAGTATTCAAAGCCACCATTCAAATGCTACGTGCCCGGGTGTACAAAGAAAGAGCTGTTTTCTTCAGTGATCGATCTTGACCGTCATCAAGAGAGTCTGCATAGGAAAGATCTTTACAAATCTCATTACCGATGCGCGATAGAAGATTGTAGGACCCGCGAGAGGATATGGCCACGAATGGACAACTTCAAACAACATATTGAGCGCATGCATAGAGAAGAGGATGTGCTCGATTTGTTGCAACGGTATGATATCTTAAGAATACTATCGAACGACGACTAACAAGCTGAAGATCGAAGATAAGCTGAGCAAGGGTCATCGTAGTTGCGGACGCAATCAGTGTGTCGGGTATGTAGCTTGGCCGTCCATCTACGCTATATCTCGAGCCTCAGTAGTAAACCCACTTCACTTGAACGACTGAATATACATTACGCACTCCTCGCAACACTCATAACATCCTCTTCCAAATGCAGCCCCCTAAAGTGCGTCAAAACATCCGGCAGCTTCTTCCTACTCCCATCAACCGCCGAATCTCTCTTCTCCCTCGCCGCAACCCCAATCATAAAGTCTTCCTCAAAAGCCTGGATTTCCACTCTTGTGTCCTCTAACCTGCCACACTCGCCCTTCTTCAACCCCCTTACACCCACCGGCCCTTTCCCGTCCCCTTTCATCGAGAACCAAACCTCCGCGTCACTCGTCCTCTCACCCCAAGTCCCATGCGTACTACACCGCGCCGGCGTCCCCGCCCTCGGCGCACGCACGTGCTTGAACTCCAATTGTGGTATCCACTCTGCGAGCAATGCCTCGCCGTCAAGTTTGATGTACGCCTCTTTGAAGCACCAAAATGTGTAGAACCGTCGTAGTTTCGCATCGATGAGAAGATCCGAATCCAACTCCCTCTTCTCTCCATTCGGTAGCGTAACGTTGAGATGCTCATTTCGCCTACAACAGCGGTCATGTCGACCCAGAATCTCATGCGTGACCATTGTGCCGTCGAGAAGGGGAAAAGGGTCAACATTGTACTTGATATCGAAGAGTTCTTCCCCGCTGAAGAGCTCAGCGTACATATCCACCCAGCCATCGAATCCCTCTTCATCGACAACGCGATAGTCGTTTCGCTCGTTGACGCAGACGATATCTACGCCGACTTCGGCGTCGAGTTCATTGGTTGCGCAGCCTACCAGGGCAACGAGACCGGCTTGGTGACTGACGTTGAACTCCACGGGCGCAGGGCCATGTTGCGGTGGTATTAGCAAGGCGATCGGCTTTCCGTGTTTAGGATCGCGTTTGCGGCCAAAACGGATGTCTTTCCATGGCATGCCGAGAGTTTTGTGGACGAAAAGGCGTTTGAGGAGGGCGGAGCCTAGGCTCATTCGCGCATCTGCTATGTGGTATTTGCGTTTTATGAGGTCTTGTTCCTCGGGGGTGACGAGGGAGAGCGCTTCTCGCGCCTACACGTGGTTAGTTGGTGTTCCAGGCAGATAAGTGTTCGTGATACGACGTACTGATTCTGAATCTGTGATCTTTTCCCCGGGCCATAGTGATCGCGTATCCAGTAGCCAGCACGTGAGACCGTGACCCGTTGGTCCTTCATCCTGTTTGTCGATCATAGCGCCTTCATCCACTGTTCCTAGACTGATACTGGGCCGGATTGCGTTATCGGCTAAAGTAGTGAGACTAGACTACTAGAAGGACTCTGGCCTTATATGAGCCTTGGAAGCCTTAGTGCAGGTACGACCTTTCTTGACGTGATGTGTAGAACGCGTGGGGATCTACATGTCATGATCGTTCACGGCATCAATGGGGGTCCGAAGTGTCGATGATGGAGAGGTAGATCGAAGAGCGGCACCGTGTCGGGGTAAGCGGATCAATAGGGCTGAACCAAACGCATGTGTGAGGTGACATGTGCTCGCGCGGGCGATTACCGCGTTTTAGTGGGGGCTGGGCTTATCGATAAAGATTTCGCCTTTGCCGTCACTTTCCGTTGCATGACTGTACATTTGCTTGACGCTTCAATTCCTTTTTTTCCTACAGTCACGGAGTTTGTGGAGTTTGATCAAGAGTTAAGATGACGGTAAAGAACGGTACCCAGGACATCACAGTCGGCGTGCTTGCCCTCCAAGGCGCTTTCAGCGAACACATCCAACTCCTCCGCGCGGCATCCTCCAACATCCCCTCGTCGCAAACCTTCCACTTCATTGAGGTCCGCACACCAGCCCAGCTCGCACAATGCGACGGCCTCATCATCCCCGGTGGTGAAAGTACAACCATGTCACTCGTAGCCGCACGAAGCGCCCTGCTCGAGCCTCTCCGCGACTTCGTCAAAGTGCAGCGCAAGCCAACGTGGGGTACATGCGCCGGCCTGATTCTACTAGCAGAGAGCGCCAATAGAACGAAGAAGGGAGGCCAGGACCTGATTGGAGGCTTAGATGTGCGAGTGAACAGGAACCACTTCGGGCGACAAACCGAGAGTTTCCAGGCAAGCCTCCAGCTGCCCTTCCTGGACGCGACGAGCGAAACGAATAAGACCGATCCATACCGATGCGTCTTCATCCGCGCGCCTGTCGTAGAGAAGCTATTACCAAGTAAGAAGGCAGTGGGCATACAAGAAGGGGAGAGCGAGAGAGACGATACAATTGTTGCGCCGAGTAAGACGCCAGTGGATGACTTGGCGAGGAAGGAGTTGGAAAGCGAAGTCGAGGTCATGGCTACGCTATCGACCAATGCGAAACCTTTGCAGGAGAATCAGGTACATGATCATCCGGGTGCGGAGGATATAATAGCTGTACGACAGGGCAACGTGTTTGGGTGCAGTTTCCACCCTGAACTGACTGATGACCCACGGATACATGTCTGGTGGTTGGGAGAGGTTGTCAAGGCCGTGGACAGGCGACAGCAGTTTGAACTTGCGGACCGGACTAGATGAGTGACAGAAAATGTTAGACATTGACGGGCGCATGGCTGGGCGGCATTCTTGTACAGCATAAGAGAGGGTGTTTGGAAGATGGTACTGAGTTTTGGGAAGGTATCTAGTATGGTATCTTTACCCCCTATGAGCATGTGCTTATAACTAAAGCACTAATGAACAATGCCGAATGATAGACGCCAGACGCCTTCCTTGCAGTGTTTGGACACCCAGCTGAGTTTGGGTTGGGCGAGCTTCCCCATGTAACTGAAGTGCCCTTCATCGTCCTCAGTTTCAGCGTAGTCGTGCTTGCCAACGTGGGATGGCGCGGCGGCGCGAGGTTCTCCTGATCAATATGGCCTAGGTTTTTTTTCTCGTGATTAACGTCCTGGTGATCCGAGAGATAGTAGTCCATCGTCATCTTACTGTGCTTCGTGGTATTCGTCCACAGCTCTGCCGTATCCGCCCCTACCGGGATCATATTCGGCTCTGTACTCGTCGCGCACCTGACCACCGCTCTTTCCGCGTCCGTACTGCCTTCCCTCAGCGAAGCCCTCGTCCAAATCCGTCCTAATAACACGCTCATCGAGCTTAGTGCCACCAATGTACTTCATGCAGTCCAGCGCATCCTGGTGTGTGTAGTATTCGACGAAGCAGAATCCGCATGGTGTCTTCTGGAAACGGTCGAGACCCATTACTAAGCGCTTGATCTCGCCGCATTTGCTGAACAGCTCGTGGATTTGCTCTTCGGTGGTGTAGAAGGAAAGGTTGCCGACGTAGAGGGTGGTTGCGTCTTTGAGCTTGTCTTCGGGCGAGGGAGAGCGGCCGCGGTCATCGTCACGTCCGTTGCGGTCGCGTCTGCGCTTCTAGAAGAGAGTCAGTCTTTGCGTACTAATGCGATGTGTTGTAGCCTCCCATACCTTTGCTGTCGCATACGAACTCGGCTTGTCGAGGCGGTCAATGGTACTGCGAAGCGCCGGCATGATGCGCGCCCTCAACTTCGATGTCGGCTAGATTTGTAGGAAGCGACCGTGGCCCGGAGGAGTGAGAGAAGATCGAGGGTGGTTTTGGAGTGAGTGTAAGGATCGGAAGTCGAAAGTCGAGCTCGGAGCTCTCGAGACGCGTCGGTCTTGGCGCTGTATCGCGCGGCTGGAACTTTTGTTTGTCCACACTCTTACCTCTACAATCCACGCAGCTATTTCCTACCCACTCTTAACTCTCTCAATACTATCCGAGGGAGCTCGCCGTCAT